AACGCGGAACAACGCTTATATAGTGGGGTCGGGGCCTTCACATGTGTTTGGGAATTATTATGTATATGGTAATTATTTTTAAAAAACGCTTCAATGCGATAAAGAATAATAAATATCAATATAAATGACTGTGCAGAGGCAATACGTATGTTTTAATAGTGTTATTAGGTTTTTTTATTGTTTCAAGTATAATAACTACCCCCAGAGAATCCGAGTTAAAAAAAAAGGCTTCGTCCTCATAGGAAAAGAGGCTAGTAAATCTGTTGTGGGTTTTTAATGTATCATTAATGTCTAAAGATTAAAGAAAATTAATCAAAAGAGTAGCTCAAACAAATTTTAAACTAACTTAAATGTTTTATGAATATTATAACGTTCAGTACGTTGAAGTTAAGACTACATTTATCAGAATGGTTTTTCGTGACTTTATTAAATTTAACTTTTGGCTTACAAAAAAGTACCGTCAGAGTATCTAAATACCTTAATACACGAGGGAATCGACCCAGTGGTTAAAATGTTATTATGGGTGAAAACTAAAAAAAATTAAACCAATATTTACTCAGCCATTATTCCTGTTGGTTAGGACTTTGGTTATAATTTTTCTAGTTTAGAATTTAATAAATTGTCTGTGCTTAAATTCGGTTAAGTACATTTTAAATTGAGTTTATCAATTAAATTAAAACCAGAGTACAATTTTTGCCAGATATGCTTAACTGGGTATAGATTATAAACAATATTTTTTAGGAGGATTTTCAGAAATGGTGACATATCGATTTTAAATAATTGTACATCTATTATTTGACATTAGCGATTATCGTTGAATTTTATTATGATTTTTTGTTATAAAAAAAAACCATTTGATAATCCTAATGACGCATTCATAAAATAATTGTCGCCACTTGAAATTTTCGGATTGTTTTTCCGGGATATTGCTAGGAATGATATAATAATTTTATTACCATGAAATTGGGTTTGTGTGGGAAGATAAAAAAATCTGCATCAGCTTTTCTGCTTGCTCGCTCAACGACCGAGATCGAAATTTGAAATGACACTGTTTTTTAATGCAAACATTGGAAATATAATTATTGTATTTTGCTAACGCAATCTTATTTTATTTATTGTTCTGTTCCAACGCAGATTTTAAAAGAGGCAATTATAACACGGTGTGCCTTATCGTTTGGGTCAATCGCCTTAGACCTACTACGGTCGGATACAAATTACCATTATCAAACGGTGTCGGTCTAAATATCGGCAAATGGTGGGCGAACGATGACCAAAGCATCATTTTGAAATGTCACCTTCGCAGTTAGTACATAATATAAATAGCCCCAAAAGCGTAGGACGTCATCCCTTTGGATTGTGTGGGAACAAACTACGAACCCACATTTAGATGGCAATAATGTGGTATACTAGAAATCTTCAAGGACAACTTTTTTTTGCTCATTTATCATTGAAGATTTTGCCTTTTTTAAGAGAAAACCTATCGATGAACTGAGTGTGTATAAACGTTTAGGATGACACAGCTTCCAACATAATATCATTTACTATGCCCGTTCGAAGAGATTTTTTTTTTAAATGACTTACGATTAAGGTCCGGTTGCTCGGGTTTGATAAAAAGTCAGAATATGATGCTTTTGTACATTTAAAAATAACTTGAAAGGACGTTACAACTTTATTGATTAAATATATTATTTTTGAATGCTGTGCGTTGGCGAATTTTCGAATAATTCAAATGATTTTCTATTAACTAATGAACAAACTTCCGTTTTTTATATTTTTAAGTAGCTATAATTTCTTCACTAAATACAATCTTGTAAATGCGCCAACGTATATGTCTAGGAACATTTCCTTAAACTCCAAAATATCATTATAAATGTCTAAAAAAATTATATTCTAGCATTTATATTATTACAATATAATATACTCAATGACACTAAGTATATTCTTCTAGTAATGATGAAAAGGTATTTAACATTAAAACTACTCAACAGTCTATAAATGCCTATCTGCGTGATCATAGGTGTACCTGAAATTTGTTTTTTTAGTATTATACTATTATATTATATACCAGAAATATGTTATTTATGATATAGTATTTAACAAACCTTAAAATATGCAAAAATACTCAATCCATTTTAAAATATGTTTTTCATACGCTTTAGGTCTAAATTGCTTTTCGGTCATTTAGTTTTAAGGGTGGTAAGTAAAAACCTTGGCTTAAGGCTTAATTGAGCCAAATGAAAAGCTTTGAACTCAAAATTTGCACAGGCAAACGGTTTTTAAAAATGTACAATTTGAGCAAAAGTGGCTATTTAAATATAAACCAGGTAATATATTTTACATAGTATACAATATATATACTTCAATATGATCTTCATTAAGAATAAAGGCGAATGTTATTTATAACTTATTGTTTATACATAGGTTTACTTGACCAGTCCGCCAGCATTGTATGATACCTATGACTTATACACAATATTGGCGAAGTTGATAGACAATAAATAATTATAATGGATTACAATTTATTTTTTTAACCATTTACAATTTAATTTTTTTTCTGTAGAGGAATTATTAATTATCACTTTTATTAAATAGCTTAAGACTATAAAACATGGCAATGTCAACGAACACAATTTATAGCATTCAACAGAGACGGCACAAAAAAATTAGATTGTATATCACGGCGCCATCTACCGAACCAAGTTGGAGAAAAATTCAATGGTTTATCTTTATTACTAGTTGAGCCATGTTAATTATTATTATATTTTATACTGTAACACACAACATCATATTATTTTATATCCAGTGAATTCATTAATGCGAAAGTTAAAACGCTAGCTGCTGTTTTTTTTTTAAATCATTGTAACTTAAATAGCCGATTTGGTTGTAATATTATACGGAATGAGGATGTAAATCATATTATATTTTTGCCATCTCTCTCAAATCTTTCACAGTAAAATATTAAGAATCAGCTGTTATTATTGTACAAAAAAAAAAGTAACGTTCGAAATTTGCTTGGTATTAATAAAATATTGTATGTCACTGGTATATCACAAAAGCACGGTCTAGAAATTTCATTTAATAGTAGTAAATATTCCCCTCGATTCCCGCCAACGACCATACCACGTTGAATACACCAGTTCTCGTCCGATCACTGAAGTTAAGCAACGTCGGGCGTAGTTAGTACTTGGATGGGTGACCGCTTGGGAACACTACGTGCCGTTGGCATTTTTTTTTTAAAGTTAAACATTTTTATTTATCGTGAAAATAATTTTATTTTGGGTTAGGTAATTTCCTGGTCTTATTATTTTCATTTAAACGCGTGTACTGCGTGATTTTTTTTTTTAATTTGATGTTTGGCTAATTTTCAGCGATTTCAGATTAGTGTAGAAGTGTTAGAGGCAAAGGTAGACAAGGAAGAGGAAATGGGTGGAGTTATTAATAAGAACATATAACAAAGATTAAGGGGGAGGGGGCTTGGGATACTAAACACCTTAAAACTTAAAATTAGTACTTTTCAAAATACCTACATTTATTTTTCAGTGAGATATGTAAAATAAATGTAGTACTACTTAATTATAAGTTTTAAGGTATTTTTTGAGGGTTTAGTTAAAATGACCCCCTCCCCCCCCCCAAATCTCCGCCCATAACAAAGTGAGAGAAGAGGATTTGACCGGCCGATCCCGGAAAAACTAGGAAAACAAATATTATTATGGTTCTTCTTTTTTCCAAAATTAGCCAAACATCAAATTTCACAAAAAATAAAAATCACGCAGTACACGCGTTTAAATGAAAATAATAAGACCAGAAAATTACCTAACCCAAAATAAAATTATTTTGACGATAAATAAAAATGTTTAACTTAAAAAAAAAAATGCCAACGGCACGTAGTGTTCCCAAGCGGTCACCCATCCAAGTACTAACTACGCCCGACGTTGCTTAACTTCAGTGATCGGACGAGAACTGGTGTATTCAACGTGGTATGGTCGTTGGCGATGACGAGGGATTATATTCATAATAATTAAATACAATGTACCATTATGAAACGTTGGCAAAATTCAACATAATACCTAAGCAACTCATTTTTGATTTTTAATATACGTGACAAGTGTAATTATATACAATTACAATTATTATTAATACTTTTATGCCAAATTCTATAAAAAAAAATATAGGTACCGTTACCAGACAAATACAATTTACGTGGCAACTCGCCACGAGTAGAAATAATTACATATTAATATAATTATACAAATAATTGTACATATTATTGTATTAGTTTTGTCTATTGTATACAGTATAATAGCCTTTTCCGAACTACTAAAATAAACAAAGCCTAATACAAAACACCGATATAAACTACTGTATAATTATTCAAAGTAAAATACGTAGTATGTTTCGTTAAAATCAACTGTATCATTATGTTATAATGTCGTGTGAAAAGTATAAAGCAATTACATCTTGATAATTGATATAATGTACCTGTAGTAAAGCATGAACTATAAAAATCTAACAGTCAAATAATTATTGTACAGTACCGATTTAAATTTATTATATTTAATCGTCATTTTACTCTCTAATGTAACTATAATTTATCGTTCAAGTTGTTTGCTTATGAGTTATGACAAATAGTAGTTAATAATAAAAACTCAGTCAAAATACTTATTCTTAATAATATTTATCTATTTATTTCATTAGCAGCAAATAAGTCGCTTCGCTTGTTTGGCAATTGTAACACGCAATGAGGTACTACATTGCCGTTTGAACATATTTCATTCTTATACTTAAACATTTTACAAGTAACTTATTAACTTAAGACAAAAAAAAATCGAGTATAATTTTCAAATTTCAATATTAATTTATTACAAAATCTTTGGCGGTTGTCCGCCATTTAATATACGCTTAGAACGTCTTTGGCGTTGTCCGTTTGCACGTGGGGTCCATGTGCAAGTATTCTTCAAAACATAACCTAACAAAAGATAAGTTATCACAGAATAATAAACATACACAAAACACACTTCGGTTCGTTTTAAAAAAGATGAAGAAAATAAAATAATTGAATTTTATTATTTCGTTGTTAAATTAAAAAAAAAACATTATTATTATAATAGTCTTATTTATATTTAGTTAAATCATATATAATTTATCGAAATGGGTAAAAAAAGTAAAATTGGAAAGCAGCGTAAAGATAAGTTTTACCATTTGGCCAAGGAAACTGGTGAGTAGAATTTAAATTGTTATTGTGCAATTTAATTTTGTGTATTTCTTATAATATGAAAAATGTCACCACATAGGATTCAGATCTCGAGCCGCTTTTAAGTTACTCCAGTTGAACAGGAAATTTGAGTTCCTCCAGAAAGCCCGCGTTCTTGTCGACCTGTGTGCGGCACCGGGAGGATGGATGCAAGTGGCCAAACAAAACATGCCGGTGTCCAGCATCGTGATCGGTATCGATTTGTACCCCATAAAACCAGTTCCCGGATGTCTGTGTTTGACACACGACATTACCACACAGGAATGTCAGTCGGCACTTGCCAAGGAATTGCAATCGTACAAAGCCGATGTTTTTCTCAACGACGGAGCTCCTAATGTCGGTCAGTATTTGGTTACGATTACGCACTTAAGTACAACCGTGCTCGTATCGCCATGTAACGATTGTGTTTTACAGGACAAAATTGGCTTTACGACGCGTATACACAATCATGTCTTACGCTGAGTGCGCTGAAGTTGTGTTGTTACAATCTGAGGGAAGGCGGATGGTTCATAACCAAAGTGTTCCGATCCAAAGATTACAATGCCCTAATGTGGGTGTTTAAGCAACTTTTCAAAAAAGTGCATGCCACCAAACCACAAGCGTCGCGTAGCGAGTCTGCCGAGATTTTCGTCGTATGTCAGCATTACTTGAAACCTGCAAAATTGGATTTGCGCTTTTTCAATGCAAATTACGTTTTCAAAGACTTGGAAGTCAAACCTCAGGTAAAACAATTGATTGTGTAGTTATCGTAACCGATATTTATTTTATTACATGTTTAAAAAATATTTATGTTATTTGTTTTTCCAGGTAAAATTGGATTCAGAGAGCAAATCCAATAAAAAACCTAAAGCAGAAGGTTACCCTGACAACACTACTCTGTTGTTTAAACAACTACCGGTTTCGACCTACATGAGTTGTAAAAATCCTGCTATAGCGTTGCAAGACGCTTACGAAGTAAGTCTAATTTACAGTATTCAAAACAAATTGGTGTATCATTTTTTTTTTTAGTTTATTTTGGTTGTATCTTTGATGCATTCGTCTTATGCATTTTTGTTTTACACATTTTTTTATGTACCTTATAATAATGAATTAATAAAGAGCAAATTTGTTTAGCTTCGGTGGGGCTGAAATTGGGTTTTGTAAACAGAGTTGCATAGAATTCAAATAAGATAATAAATAATATAGTTTTTATTTGTAAATAACATTATTTTATAACAAGGATTAAAAACGTTACCAAGCCAAAATTTACACCATTTCTTATAATTACCATCAAAGTTGATTCAAATGATTGGTAATTAAAATATTTATTTAGCTTAGCTGGTTTTGAACTTGTAAAAAAAAAGTCAATAAAAAAAATTGCAATGTTAACTTATGCTCTTTGAAATGATATAAGTGTTTCGTTCTAGGAAAAATAGTTTATATTTATTGGTCCAAAAGGTGTAACTAACTTTAAAAAAATTGTATTGACTCTTTTTTACAAGTTCTAAATCTGTTATCTTACTATCATACTACCAATTATATAAATAAACTTTTGTGGTAGTTATTACACATAGTATAAATTTTGGTTTTGTAAAGTTTTAAATCAATGATTTTTAAAAAAAAATTTATATTAAAAATATATTTACAATCTATAATATCAAAAACAATGAGTTAATTTGTTGAACATTTTTCAGTGGCAGGATAATGTGAAAGAAGAGTGTCCAGTGACACTACTAAAAAAAACTCTACTATTATTTATTATTGTGTTATTTAATTGTAAATACTGAATCGCATCAAAAAGTAATTAGTTTATTATTGTTTTCTAGATTGTTTTTGACGATCCAAACATAGAAAATCATCCCAACACGACAAAAGAAATAAAAGAATGTTGCAAAGACATCAAAGTGTTGGGGCGAAAAGATATCCGGGTGCTAATGAACTGGTGGAAGGTATTTCAAGAAAAAGAAAAGGAATCCAACCCTGAAGAATTGGGGTCCGGTGGTGAAAACAAAGAGAATGATATTGAATTATCCGAAGACGAGAAAGAACTTGACGAAGTCGACAAACAAATCAAAGAGCTACAAGTAATAAATAACATTTCAATTATTTACCAGTTTAAAATTTTGTACGTGTCATATTAATTACAATCAAATTTTATCAGGACGAAGAAAAACGAGAGTTGAAACGTAAGAAGAAGAAGACTAACAAAGAGAGGACAAAGCTGCAGACGAGAATGAATTTGAAAATGGTGCACAAGAACGACTTAGGTCCTACTGAACAACGAGAATCGGGCGTGTTCCATTTGTCCGATATAAAAACGAAAAAAGCGTTGGACTCGGTAGTCGATCAAGAGCCAGACATTGTTGAATCCGAAGATTCTGACGCCGAAATTAAACCTAAAAAAACTAAATATGATCCTAGCGCTACATACCTCGACAAATCCGGAATGTCAGTAACAAATAGTACCTACTATTTTGTAATGTTCAATACTTATTTATTTCTAAAACTTTAATTTATTTTTTAGGTTCTATCGGTCTGAGGAGAGCGAATCGGAACAAGAATCGTCCGACGATGTGGACAGCGACACGGAAGGATTGGGTATGTTGTGTGAACAATTTTTAACGTCCATAAAACTTGACGTTTTGTGTTTTCAAATTTAGGCTTTAAGGATAAAAACCTGTCCTCCAAAGCGCTGCCAAAGAAAAAAGTAACGTTTGCCGATCCTAATGAAAATCATCCTCTTATTACGGATTTGGATTACAGAGATGTCAAAGACAAACGATTATCAAAAGCCGAACTCTGGTTCGATAAGGTAAGCACAATAATAATCAAACATTAGTTCTATAACCACAACATTACATAATATGCCGGTTTGAATTTTACTTAGGATATATTCAAAAATGTAGAAAACGAAGAAGACGAAGATTACGAACTGGACAAAATGGCTGCCGTGTTAAAATCTAAAGGTGGCAAAATGTATAGAGACAATTTGGACGATGACGACGATGATGTCGTAGAAAATAAAGCTAAACCCAAGGAGATTGCTAAAAAACTTGTCAAGAAAACAAACCAAGACGATGACGAAACTACAGATTCAGATTCCGAATCCGACATAAGCGAAGAGGAAGATCCTAGTGCCGCCATGCCTTTAAACGAATGGGACGACAAACCTACAATTACATTAGCTGGTAAGTTGTTCATTATCAAAATTTCATTGATCAAACTGTGTAATGTTTAATTAATAAAATTATCCGTAGGTAAAAAACGAAAGAAGAGACAAGCAAAGATGTTGGACGATAAAGGTTTGGCGTTGGGTACGATGATTGCCTCTTCGAAAAAAATGAAACGAGATATTATAGATGGCGCTTGGAATAGATATGCGTTTAATGATGACGATTTACCCGATTGGTTTGTGCAAGACGAAGCGAAACACATGCGTAAAGACACGCCTGTACCTAAGGTACACTTTAGGATTTTTGCAGTTGTTGTTTAGTTTGTTTTATGTAAATACTATAATTAAATTTACATTTAAAGGAATTGGTTGACGAGTTTGGTAAGAGACACGAAGAGATCAACATACGTCCCATCAAGAAGGTGGGCGAAGCAAAAGCTAGGAAAAAGAAGCGTGCCATGCGTAAAATGGAAAAGGCCAAGAAGAAGTTGGAAGGAGTTATAGAAAATGTTGACGTAACAGAAGCCGAAAAAGCCAGACAAGTCCGACAGTAAGTATTTATTGCCGCGTAATTAAAGCGTACAGTTTTTTTTTTAAATTGTCTTTTATTCCTTTATAGAATATACAAAAAGTTAAAACAGCCTAAAGCCGAAATCAAATATGTAGTATCGAAGAAACATACTGCTGCCAAACGAGCACGTCGTCCACCTGGTGTCAAAGGACCGTACAAGGTGGTCGATCCGAGGATGAAGAAAGACATGCGAGCCAAAATGCGAATGGACAAGAAAAAGTCCAATAAAAAAGGCGCTCGTGCCAAACCTCTCGTTAAGACGCGTCGTGGTAAAAAATAATATGTTCCGAAGATGTTTTATTAATTGTAATGACAATTATTGTTTTTGTATATTTCAAATACAGAAGTTTAAATGTTTTTATGTAAATCTTAATCATTTTTTGGTAAATTGATAATTTTTCTAATTAACGAAATGCCATTCAATGTAAAATCGAATAGACTCAAATAGTTATTGTTCTTAGTCAAAACAAAAAGTCTACCCGAATAATTTTTTTTTTTTTTACTAATAAAACTCAATCCAAACCCTTTGTATCTAGCTTCCGAATTAACAGTTTTCTATGAATTTTAAATGGTAATATTTTGATGTTTATTTAAGCAAAAAAATACTTATACTTCGAAAACATTAGTATTTTATTGACTTTTATTAAAAATTGTGGCCATCCACAATTCCTTTTAGTTTAACAATATTGTACTAGTGTGTTTTAATTTAAAGGAAAAAAAAATACTTTGTTTCAAAAACGGTGTACAAAGCCTGTAGTACAATTTCACTTTAGCTTTAAGGTGAAGCTAAAGAACAGGCAGGTATAACTTTACAATGATTGGTATGACTTCTTACTATTATTAATATATTTTCTTTTTGTGTGACTACAAACTTTTAAGATTCAAAAAAAATATAAATGGCAACAAGCAAACGACAAAGTAAATTCTTAATAAAATATATCAGTTAAAGTATTAATTTTTTACCACAATGTTTTATGTATTTAATGCCATCATTAGCGGCCAGGCAACTAAGGCAATTGCCACGCGCATAAAAAATTTATTTAGTTTTCTTAAGTTATTAGTTAATATATTATTATACTTATTAGCTTTATTTTTTTTTTCAAAATGAATCCTGTATATGACAGTATAGTGGTTATTAAGCAACATCCATACAGGATATCGTTTGCGATTATAATTTCATCTTTTGTAAATTGTGTTTACATTTTATGTTTATACATTTATCTTAAGTTCGTACATTTTAATGATAATTATTTTAATAGATGACCGGTAATGCGATTTTAACTAATAACTAGGATAATAAGCAAAAGTCTTCTCTTACAGTTAAAAAAGGGAAGATACCAGTATACCAGTATGAAGAAATTTTAGGTCTGGGGGTTTTGCGCTTTTTTTATCAATAATGGTACAAAGTTGTTGCCTCCTCAACAATTTAATGCCAGAACCGCCACTGCTAGTAATATGTCATGGGATTCCAGTTGTATCTAACCATGTTGGACAATTTGGTTTGACTCCTAATTTATTGTAATAACACAAACATGGTTACATGTTGAGTAGTTTAATTTAACATGGTATTTATATTGAACACTTAAATATTAAAAATGAATAGTTATTAATTATCCTATATATTGTATTAACACAATAATGTAATTCATAATAAAATAGAAATGGATTAATGGCTCTGAACAAAGTAATAATAATTTAACATGTATTTCAATATTTTAATATATTTTTATTCATTCAAATTTAAGTGTGCACAAAACCTAAATCTAAATAATAAATCTTAATGAACTTTTTTATGAGTTCTAGAATTTCAAATCCAAATTCATATATGATATCCGAATTTTTGTTTAACGGAAACTTCTTCAGAAATGTACTTATCATTCCTCTGATGTCCTGGATTTCCTTCACTGGTAGTGAGCAATGTTGGTGTATAAACGGTTTCAACAAAAAACTATTCTTACCATTGATAGTCCTGAACAATTTTAAGGAAGGTGGATCCCCTTGTATTTTGTACTCGACATCAAGCTCGCCGGTATAAGTTGGGAAATAGGGGTTTAAATTTATCGCTATTTCTTTGTACCACTCCACTAACAGTAATATTTGTCGTACGTTTTCTATGGTTGGATGAAAAACATGTTCCTCGGGCGGAATCAAACTGAATAAATAAATTAATGCGTCATACATATATTCGAACATCTGTTGACTGTGCAATAATCGTTCGTACGTAAAATTGAAAATTTTCAACGAAATTTCATAGTAATTGTCACAAACTTTATTATGGGCATTAACACTATTCTGTTTGCTTTCTTTTTCCACGTCCGATGTGTGCGTCTTGTCTTCCGAATTGTCACGATTTTCCTTACGTGATCGATGATCACGTTGTACCCGAGTTCTCGATCGCTTAACTGACATATTTTGTTCAAGATCCATTTTATCCAGACGCATTCTTTTCAATCGTTGTTCTTTCTTGTATGTTCTATCTCTAGACAAACGTCTTTCGTAACTATCTACAGATAAAATGTTTTTGATCAACATTATAAATGTATCGATCGCGTACGCGTACGCACATCCTAACAAATTGATGACCATGTAGTATTTTTCATACGCGTTATCGACGCTAATTTGAGAATTTCCAGTATTCTTAGTGCGGGAGTACAAACCTCTGTGAATGAATAAATCTTTCCCTGAAAACAAAACACATTCATTTGTAATATCTCGATATGATTTAACTTCCACATAGTTCATCTTTGCCCATTGCGAATGGCTCAATAGTGCGTTTAGTACGTCAGCCAGGTTTTTTCTGACCGCGTAACTTGCAAACGTTTTTTCACTGTTATAATGGTATATTATAAAAAAACAGATTAACATTTTGCTGAACATTCTTGTAATTTTTAATTACATGTACTTATAAGTAAAGTTGTCATACGATGAACTGCAAATTAGGGTTTCCACTTTCAAGCTGTACAAAAAAGATTCTATTGTATGTAAAGACAAAAAAAAACCGTATCGATACCTATTGAAGTTTAGAGTTATTTGTACTAGTAGATGTTATATGTTTAGTTAAAAAACACTTGTTTAAAAACACATAATAACAACACAATATAAAGTTGTAACATATTCTTATTATTTTTAAGTACGTATTTTCGATGCGGATCGTAAATATATTGTGGTTAAAATTATGTGTTTTAATTGATATTTTTGTGTCTGAACCCACGTTATCTTCTAAGGATCGTATCAGCGGTTTAAAAATTATATATGCCGGTAAGTGGTGACTACACGATTTGGGATAAACAACAATGTAGCGACTAAGTTTTACTTATTATTAAAAACACACTTGTTTATAAAAAATAACAATAATATAACGTAACGTCATAACATAATCAAAACTAACACTTAATAATCAAAGTAGGTGCCATTAGGTGCCCCCCTACTTCATTTTATATTCAAGTTATATCATTAACTTTTTACTGTTTACTCATTTACTGCTGTTCATATGTGTACAGATGTAAATATTCAATATAATGAAGGAAAAAAAACATATTCTTGTTATTTTAAAGTGAGTTTTACTTGAATGAGGAGCCTATGAAATATTGTGGTTAAAATGTTCTATTTTGATATTTTTGTATCCGGACCCACGGTATCGTCTAAGAACTGTATTAGCGGTTCAATAGTTATATGATAGTGGCATCATATATAGTAGGCGTTTAAGAATTTCGTTTGCAGAATTTCACCATAAATTAACATCCATTTGAGCAAGGAGAACATTTTAATTACTTGGGTGTCAATCTGATTAATAGGAAAGACAAGCAAAAATGAAATAAGATTGAGGTTAATCTGGCAAATCGATATTCAATGAACAAAATATTTAGTTATAAGCTGGTCTCCAGAGAAACTATAATGGTGGATTTGTGAGATTAATGGCTCTGAATATAGTAATAATAATTTAACATGTATTTCAGTATTTTAATGTATTTTTATTCTTTCAAATTCCTTAAATGTACACAAAACCTAAATCTAAATAATAAATCTTAATGACATTTCTTGTGAGCTCTAGAATTTGAGTTCCAATTTCATATATGATATCCGATTTTTTTTTTAATGGAAACGCAGTTAAAAATGTTTTTATCATTTTATTGATGGCCTGGTTATCCTTCACTGGTAGTGTGCAATTTTTGTGTATGAACGGTCCCAACGTAAACTGATTCTTACCGTTAATAGACCTGATCAATTTTATAGTAGGTGTATCCCCTTTAGACTTGTACTCGACATCAAGTTCACCAATATGAGTTGGGAAAAGGTGGTTTAAATTTATCGCTATTTCTTTGTACCACTCCACTAACGGTAGTATATGTCGTACGTTTTCTATGCTTGGATGATATTCCTCGGGCGGAATCAAACTGAATAAATACCTTAATGCGTCATACATATATTCAAACATCGGTTGACTATTCAATAATTGTTCGTACGTAAAATTTAAAATTTTCAAAGAAATGTCATAGTAATTGTCATAAACTTTACATTTGGCATTACCATTATTCTGTTTGCTTCCTTTCTCGTCATCCGATGTGTGCGTCTTGTCTTCCGAAATGTCACGATTTTCGTCACGTGATTGGTGATCATATTGTACATGAGTAATTCTCGAACGCTTAACTGGTATTAGTTCACGATCCACTATTTCCAGATGGATTTTCTTTACTCTTCTTAATTTCTTGCGTGCTCTATCTCTAGCCAAATGTCGTTCGTAAGTATCTACAGATAAAATGTTTTTGATTAACGTTGTAAATGTATTGATCGCGTACGCGTACACACATCCTAACAAATTGATGACCATGTAGTATTTTTTATACGCGTTATCGACACTAATTTGGGAATTTCTAGTATTCTTAGTGCGGGAGTACAAACCTCTGTGAATGAATGCATCTTTCCCTGAAAACGAAACATATTCATTTGTAATATCTCGATATGTTTTAACTTCCACATAGTTCATCTTTGCCCATTGCGAATGGCTCAATAGTGCGTTTAGTACGTCAGCCAAGTTTTTTTTGACCACGTAACTTGTAAACGTTCGCACACTGTTATAATGGTACATCATAAAAAAACAGATTAACACTTTGCTGATTAACATTTTAACTGATTAGCAGAAACTGTATTTTGTAATTTTTAATTATATGTACTTTAAAGTAAAGTTGTAATACGATGAACTGCAAATTAGGGTTTCCACATTCAAGCTGTACAAAAAAAATTCTATTGTATGTAAAGACAAAAAAAAACCGTATCGATACCTATTGAAGTTTAGAGATATTTGTATTTGTCGATGTTATATGTTTAGTTAAAAAACACTTGTTTATAAAAATAAGGAACTTC